AAAAAGAACCTCCAAAAGATTTTTCTACTGACACAGAGACCCACTTGAATGACGGTAAATTCCACCTCATCACCAACACTTATTTCTCGATCAATGTCAAGTACTTCATTAAAGTGGAAGAACAATCTGGTATCTCGGTCGACGCAGCGAATGAATCCAAATCCATCCTTCAACGATGCAATGACACCCTGCTCACGTCTCTCACCAGAGACAGCGAATGATTCAGGTAATAGAAATATTTCTGTGGCCCTTTTCAATTGATCTCTCGTATCAGTGGCTATTAAAAATTGTACCCAGTCGCCATGCCTAAATAAGACAATCCAAAAATATTATAATCAAATTATCCAACCCTTCCACTCGCCAGTTATGACTAAAGATAGAAAATAAAATCAATTACTTGAGTGTAAAATCGCCCTTCTGATCCTTATCCCCAAATGGCACTTCAACTTCGGAATAATCTGCTGCTCGATAACGTATACGCCCAGGCAGTGGATCGTTCTGATGACGTGCAGCATTACCCCTCTCTAGTGGTTTCAATACTTGCCCCTTCATTATCTCATCATTAACTTCCTCAAATACTATCGAACCCGGTGGTAATTTTGTTATATTACACGCAACTTCTTTGCCATTGCGTGTTTGAATGATAAATTCAACATCATCACCCAATTTCAACTCTTCTTTAACTGTTTTTGCTTCACTGAAGTGAAAAAATATCTCTTTAACGACATCAGCACGCTCGATGAATCCAAAACTCTCCTTCATGGAGCATACAACACCACGATAACGAACTGGATGGGCTGGATTCTCTAGTCGCACGTGACAAGCACCCAAATTTCCCCTGGAATTTTTTGAATAATTAATTAGAAGGGGATTATTCACGTTCTGCTAATATTACGTGGTGAATTGTCCAGTGATGAAGCAACCTGAAGAAATTATTTTGAGAGAAAAAAGGGACACATATTCTTGATCCAAGGATATTCCCTTCCTCCAGATAAGTAATTCAATGAAACCTCAAGCAATTTTCTCTGGACAATTCACCTGACTCGAAGCCCAATTTACCGTTGATTAGTTGCAATTTGAAATGATACTTTATCACCAGCGCGTAAAGTGACGTTTCCCTCGACATCGTCTTTGGTATAAGGGAGAAAGAAGCATTCTCCACGATTCTCATAGCTAATTCGTCCCTGAGAATCACCACTAGCTGGTAATTCAGTTGTAACATTACCAGTGACTCTCTCCTCGCTCAGTACAACTTCAGGGGCTATTTTATTGACAATACTCGCTATTGGTTTGCCAGTTCTACGATCGTATGTCATTTCAAACTCAACTGGGTCACCAATTTTGAGGTGTTCGATGGTACCACTAAATTGGCTGAAGTGGAAAAACAAACGCGCCTGTCTCTCGCAGCACTGGATAAATCCGTAAGAATGCTGAAGAAGAAAGGACATTTATGAAACACTCTGCACGAAATAAATTATCTTTTTCAACTGAAACATTTCCTTTTCGTAAACGAACGATGGAATTTCTTTTATCATGGACTCAATGTCCGGAAATTTTTTAAATATAAATATAAATAAATTAATAAATCTGATGTCGCCAATATTTTCTTACATTTCAGGATGAAAAGTCAAAATAATTTAAGCCATAATATTTCTGCATGTCATAAAATGTAAACGAACAGAGAAGAAAATCTATTGTTCATATTTAAGTTCATGAATTTAATATTTAAAGCATTCTCCAACATTTCAGGATAAAAAAAACAAGTTAAGTCTTCAAAAATCTTGAATAATAAAATCCGTCCGACACTACGAATATTGGAATGAATTTTTCATCCCAGATAATTCAGGCAATAATACTTCTGAATGTGATAGAATGTAAACTGATAAAAATTACCAGTAATTTTTCGATGATACCGGCTTCACGTGGCCCCTGGTTAGCAGACTGATCTTGATACGATGAATTATTAGTCACCGGTTCTTGTGTATATTGCGTATTATTCTCCATATTTAACGAACGATTTGGGAATCTAGCAGTACCATTGCGCGGTGATGTTGCCGGTGCATATCCGGTATAGGATATTTTTCCACTGTCCGGTGGTGAGCCCATGTAACCATGCACATCACCACCATAACTCATACCATTGCGATAATGACTGTTGGTTGACTGGGTACCACCGACAATACTTTTAGTCGGTATTGACATTGACTTGTAGTCGAGTATAGCTGGGTCAGAGTTCATGATTGGCGGCTGGAAACTCTTCCACTGAGGATTGTTGGACATTTTAACTCAATTCTTTAATTACAATTTCGTTTCCACTGCTGTATTTATCAATTGTTCTTTATGCAGTTTTATTATTTTATTAATTTTCTCATTCGCTTTCTCACGTTTTCTCTATATCTTTGGCGAAGGCAGGCTCACTCCCGTCCTCCTGCCTATCGCGTGCACTTGATCGCACAATATATTTTTTGCTTTCTTGTTTTACTTATATTTAGAAATTTTTTAGTCTTTTCAATAGTATTTAAGTGTTAACATAGATATCACAGAATGGTTCTTGGTACCTTAAATCGTTCGTTTCCCTTTTTTACTTCTTTTCAAAAAACAATTTTTCTTCTTCTCTTTTTGAATTCAACTATTAGGACGTTACAAGAACTTGAATTTGTAGATTTTGATGAATGAGGGACTTCGAGGGGGGCCGTTTGGGGGGAATTTATTCTCTCCTCTGTGGTATTCGATTTGACACTGAGAACAATTTTTTTGGCACTCTTTTGTAATGATTGGAGTGTCCTTTGGATTGAATAAATTTCAAATTTTCAATTCTCATTAAGTGATGGATATCGCAGTATCAGCCATAATCACGATCACTGTGCAATTTCAACCGACCCCGTCACACGTTTTTTTTTTAATTATTCGTTTTATTGAAATTTTGCCGGCTCAACGAACCAATGTACATACAAACGAACAAATCAATGAAAACCTTTATGTTTTTATCTTTTAATATTGTTTTACGAAAGGAGAAAATTATTATAGCACAGTTCACTCCGATTGGACACACAGTTACGCGTTTACTTGATTTTTCAATTAAAAATTTACTCTTTTACTTCGTTATTTAACCACTGACAGTTGATCCATCATCACTGGCTCCTCATAAACTATTCCTCTCGTATTATTAACTTCCACATCAGTCACCCCGTTGATTATTATTTCTTTCTCATTCATGTAAAAAAGAATTGAAACGAAAAGAAAAAAAGTTTGTAAATTTTTTTTTATGTTATTCTGAATTTATTGTTAGAGGATAAATGTTGGCATGAAAATCCTCAGATGTCTTCAATGCGTGCTGAGTGTGGTTGTGTCGTTACAATAAACTTGTTTTTTAATAATCGTTATAATTTTTCTCTTGCGTTTCTCTTTGTTCTTCAGCTTTTTTTTCTAATGTGGAATTTATAGTGAGCGTTGGTTTCAAAAATTGTCCTAAACTAACAATTACACAAGCTGAAAATAAAAGAACAGTATTTGTTTATGACAATTGTGGAGGAGTGGTGGTTTATTACTAGAAATATGACTGCGAGTTGTTTTCATTGAATTATTGGGGATAAAAAGAGAGCGATATGGGTAGGTTATGATGTTACTCTGGTTTTTGTCAGGTTTCTCTTGCCTCTTCACCGACACATTTGTAAACTAGAATGCGTGAATGTGAATCGGATAATCCGAATCAATGGAGTGAATTTTTAATTATCGGAGTGGAGGTAATTTGATCCCCTCCCTAGGCATATGCCGAGAAATATCACCAACTTTAAATCAACAATAAATAAAGAACCGTTATAATTCCGAGTTTTTTCGCCTATTTATCATCTGCATGTAGTGGTATATATGTATGTACAATCCAACGAGTTCATCAGCAGTCGGCAGTTTTAGTTTATTCTACTTTTTTTTTTCTCTGTGACACGATTCGGATTTTGTGTCACTCGTACTCAACGTAAAAACGTTATTTTTTTATTGAGGGAGTCAACGAGTTTTATGCTAAATGGTGATGGATTATTTATGTACAAAACTCGCAGCCAAGTGATTGTAAAATGATTTATTAAACTCACCACGACACAGCACAGCACTGACGACATGCCGCCATGTTGAATGTCAACACTTACGGATGCTCATGTTCGTACTACTTAGCGATACTGCAGGGAGCGAAGGGAGGGATTGGGTAGATGTGGCTACGATTTCTCATTGGTGCCGTCGTACTACACTGAACGGGAGGGATTTTTGAACTAGGGCAGAATGGGGCGACATGGACACTTTACGTTTTTTTAAGTTAATAATTCATTGAAGTATTGATAATTCTTTCTTCTTCTTATATTTGTTAAGTACAACAAACATCGGGAGAATCAAACTTTTAAATAACGTTAAATTTTGAAGCAAGTCAATTGTCAAGTGCTCATCAATTTTCAATTATTAAGTTAATCATCAATTAAAATCTCGAAATTCCGAATTACTTCATCAATCATTATTTGGTTAATCGAAAATTCCTCTTGTGCAATTTAGAAATATCTGCTCAATAGTCAATATATAATTCCATATTTAAAAATTTGAATTCTCAATTATTTTATAACTTTCCAATTTCAAAGAGAATATTACAAAAACTAATGGTTGATGCCGATATATGAAGTAGAACTTTTCGTCTTTGTGATGGATTCGACTGAGTTCGATTAGTGAATTTCATTCTGAGTTGTGAATGATTAAAGAAAAGTCAAACGTATACTTTTTCCCTACAGTTTCTGATTTCGTATGGCATGAAATGAGAGAAAGAAAATTTTCTTAACGATGTTTTTATTCAACGATAAAAAATGTTGATATACAATTTTCTATCGTTCATCCTATACATTTAGAAGCAAAATAGATTAGTGGAGAATCAGAAATTTTCTCCTAAAAAGATGATAAATTGATTGATATGCAAAAAATGTTGTTCATAAAAAAACGGGAGATTTCCGTATGAAAGAGGGCAGAAGATTTTGGCGAAAAGCAGTAGATCTACCGCCAAAACAGTAGAAATGGTAACACTCATCATACTGGCGTTCTCATAAAATATTGCTGATTAACATTTCACAGTTGTTTTTCGGAATGTAACACGGCTGATTTTTGGAGGGAAATAGGGATCCGCAAGGGAAATCTCCATGAGGCGCGCCACCTTCGACCTATCGTAACATGTGAATACAGTAGCAAACACCAAAAAACACGTGTTAGCTCTCAGTTCCTCGAATTCACCTCACAAATATAAGTGCAAAATAATCCACTCCAGTTGCTCCAATAATCATTATTTTATGAATAAGTGAATCATGAAGTTCATAACGGATTCTGTGAGCCGGTGTGCAAGACTCGGGACACTTTCGGAGCTGGAGAAATTTCCAGAAGCTATTTTTGAAACTCCCCTACTCCTAGTTTACACCAGGGTAAGTATTGCTCATTTACTTTCTCCATTCTTTTGAATGGTTTTCTGATCATCTAATTTACTACAAGAGGGGCAGTGTTCCCCACTTGACCAAGGATGTCTTCAAAATGTTGACGAAAGAACAACACATGTTGTCTGTCACTCTGCCAACGACAATAACAATGGTGGATGCTGTTCAACAGTCTCAATCGTTCACTGAATTCGTCAGTATGCAGGTAAGTACATCACAGTCTCAAGTGTTTTGTTGCAGTGAAAAATAGTTTTTCAGGAACATGTCTCTGATTTCCAGGGACACGGCCCTGATTTTGAAAAATCTGGCACTAATTTTTGATGATATTTCACACTAAGGTTTCAGTTTGAAAGAGCGGCCACAAATATTATAATCTCCTAATTTATTTTCATATTTATGTTTTCAAATTCATACATCATTTTTTAATTTTCATAATGCTGAACTGACCTGTCATTTGCGAAAATTTTCTTAAATCATTTGCAAATGTTCTTAAAAATGTTTCGAAACGATGTAGACGTCCGCGTTGGCTTCTGACAAGGTCTGCTTATCTTTGGGTTATTGTTTACTCAAGGTTGAGGCGTAAGGCAATTTTGTTATGATTATTTTATTTTTTAAAATTATTGTTGTTATTCTGAGAGAGAGGAGGGAGGGATGCGTAGATCCAAAACAAAGACAAAATTTTATATCATCAAGGAAATGAAGAATTGAAGAAGAAGAAGAGATAATGTCATTCGCAATTAATGAACAAATCACTGAATTTCAGAATTTTGCACACGTGTGATGCAAAATTTCTGTAAATTAGGGATGGCTGCGTGTAAAACAGTGACATCCCTCACGGAATAATTCCCTCAAACTACATTATTATTCCTCCAATTAAAATCCGTCTTATCGTCTTCCAAATTCACGACCTACTGGGCCCTTGGGAGTGTCTAGCATTTGACGTCATTCTGACGTTTTTCGCATATTTCTTGGCTTCTGTTGTCAGTAGATTCACAAAGGTCGTCAATCCGTCGATTTCTATTCATCATCTTCCAGGAATATCCAACGATGTTGACAATCCAAGATCCCTCCAAGAAAACTCCTCGCGGATACCAGAAGCACATCACAACAGCTATATGGACGAAGCATGGACATCACGCCATCACCCCAGACATTTATATGAACTTGGTAGAGGCATTCAAGCCCGACATTTATGTAGCTCTGTGCGATGGTGATAGCAACGAAGAAACCTCAGAAAAAAAAATTACGAAGATCGTGGAGAGAAGTAAAAGACAGTTCGAAAAGTGTTTTGAGAGGCACAAAAGTTCGGATATTTTGAAAAATACCTGTATGCTGGGAGCAGTCGAGGGAGGATACGATTTAACAGCACGTGAACAGTCGGCTAGATTCTTGAGAGAGAAGAATTTAGAGGGGTATGTCATTGATGGACTTCACGTGAATGGACCCGAAGTCCAGAATATTTCGTTTGGAAAAATTAAAGAAGTTGTGCATCACACATTGGTGAGTTGAGTTCAAGTGAATACTTATTTACTTTACGATTTAATAGACCCTATATATACTCATTCATTTATTCACTAAGAAATTAATGCCTATTAACGACATTAATGATGGCTCATTTCTTAAATTGAAATGAGAAACTGAAAAGTTCTGAAATTTTAGAAAAACCAAGAATATATTCAAACTTTTGAGGAAAGCCAAAGTAATTTAATCGAGAACGTTTTTCGCTTTATGACTGTATGCTTGGAAAATAATACTGTTGCGCATCCCCCTTCGAATCCCTAAATTGTAAACCATGTGAAGGATGCCTGGAAAGCCTGTTGAGATACGACTGTTGTCATTCTATTCTCTGACATTATCTGCCTAATTAATTAATAAACTGCTCGCCCCAGTTATTTATTAATGACATATCCGCCTATATTATATCACTCAACGTAACAATATAAAAAAAATATTCAAATCAATTTTCCCCACCAGAGTTGATTGGAACAAGAAATTTTTTCTTATTCATTTAGATTTCCATCATCTTTGTAATTATGATTTCATGCTTGTGTGTAGTGTTTCCTGACATTAAGAAAGAATTTTCGTCCCCAGGATCTGTTGCCGCCCGAAAAACTGAAAGTATCAATGGGCTGTTGGAGTCCTAATGTTTTATTGGAGCTAATCGACTCTGGAGTGGATATTTTCGATTCCTCGTATCCTTATGTCATGACTGAAACTGCCAAGGCAATAACGTTCACGTGTGACTCACATAATCACGGTAATAATTATAACCCTGGATTGGTGATTTCCATCTCAGATAAAAGGTGAATAGATTTGACGCACAATTCATCTAGAATATTGACATTAATTGGATGATTTTTAATCAAAACAGCTATGTTGAGGACTTCTCACCGATATGCGACAGATGCCAGTGTTTAACGTGTAAAAATCATACGAGAGCGTACCTGAATCATCTCTATAATACCAAAGAACTACTGTTCTCTGTGCTTCTCATGATGTGAGGAATTTTTAAATTTATAACGCTTTTTCCAATGAAAATTAATACCAAGACTGATGAATAATTGAACTATTTGCAGGCACAATACCCACACTTATCTCGAGTTCTTCAAGACAATTCGAGAGCACATCAGAAAGGGAACATTTCAACAGTTTAAAAAACAGTTTATCGATAAATTTTCGTGACACTAGAAGTGTAAAAATATATTTTTATTGAATTAAATAAATTTTAGATAGTTTCTTATTATCCTGGCAGAAAATTTGGGTCCAGATAATTGTAACAAGAGGAGTCGTCGAAATTCTGGGGTAAATAATCTTTGTCGTAGTTTCTGGAGCATTCAGGTGGACGAATGTCAGTGAGTCTGTGCAGGGGTGTGTGGACGGGGTTCACTGCTTCCATCTGAGCCACAGCACAGTCACTGCACAGGTCAACGTCAGGACACTCTGTGCAGTGCCAGCGGGTTCCCTTCAGGGGCTCTTCATCGCAGATAGAGCACTTGTAACCGAAGTGTTGATACAGGGGTCCCTGCTCCTCTTTCTCTGTTTTTATTCGTTTCAGTAATTGAATTTGTCGTAATTCTGATGTTTCTTCGGATCCAGTGCTAGGACCAGCATCATCCTCCTATGAGAGGATGGTAGTTCTTGATTATTTTTCAGAATCACACGAATGAAAAATTTAATAGAAGGACCTAAATACTCTTCCGCATTTTTTTTACAAATTCTATGAATATTCTATTGAAAGTTTGTAAGAAGTCTATTAAAAATTGAAATTTTTTGCCATTTCTTTTGAACATTATGCAATTTTATCCTGTCACAAAGTCAACAGATTTGTATTTTTAGATAGAAATTCTCCGGTATGAATTTTCCAAGTGTTTCCGTTGAACTTTCACTCTTTTCTCACGAAAATTTTTCGCAATCGAAGAAAAAAAATTAAAAAATTTATACAACAAAAAATGGTATACTGACCGAATCTTCTGTTGTAATCGACGGATGTGACCTCGTCTCCTCCCTCTCCTCATAATCATTGAAGTCTTGATGTGGAAAAAACGTGGATCTCCTGAGTAAACCCTTGAGATTCCGATGATGAAGACCTTTCTTGAAGTCAGTCTTGACTTTAGGTCCACGACCTGGGATTGGCAGTCCAGCTTTCAATAGTTTTATGAAGTACTTCTGCACTCTGCTGGACACTTGTTTAGGTGTTCGATTTCCTGCAGAAGAAAAAATGAGGAAATCTATTGGCGATGGGAAAATGAGGGATTGATTGGGGCACAAACCTAGGGCATTTGCGATTTTAGTCCATCTCTTCATCTCAACTTCCTCCGGTGGATATTCAATCAATAGTTCTTCCAATCTACGTTGTTCCTCGGCTGTCCACAATTGATTGAAAGTTTCTGGTTTGGATTCGTCAAATGCTCGACCACGAACGAGAATCTAACATTTTAAATTTGATAATTCTAGGGATTTTTTCTTGAAATTTCTGTACAACTTATTTTGCTACGTTTTTTCCAGAAAAATGGTATGCCATGAAGTTGCTAGGTTTGTAACGAGATTCAAGAAAAAAAACAGCAAAAAAATTTTTAAAAATTGATGCCATATAGAAAAATCAGCATCTGTTAATTTTTTCAATGAAAAATCATGCATTTTTATAAATTCTTTTGTACATTTTGCAAAAAATTAGAAATATTGAAGTAAAAAAAATATGAAATTGTCCATTTGTTTTCATAAACACAAAATGAAAGATGAAAAACGTTCTATTAAAATCTTTGAGGTATAAAATTCATACGTATTTTAATTTAAAAAAGTAGATACTTACTTTTCCATCATCCGACTCCGATTTAACTTGAACTTGTGGGATAACATTTCCATGTCTGGTTTGTGGTTTTATTCGTGAATTCGGCCCAGTGATATTATACGCACTCCAATCAATGTACGGAATCTCCGGAATTTTGTGACGACCAGGCAGCTCCGGGAGATTACCATTTTGCAACTCAGAAACAAAGGATATTGGATCCTTCATTGCTTTTGCTCGAAAAGACAACAATGTATCGAGATCGCGAATAGCCTGGGTTCTCTGAGCCTCCAACATCACAATGGTTTGTAACAGTGACATGTAATCTTTGTTTCCTTTCAACGCAAGGTGATCAGACTCGAAGTAAAATTCATTGTTGTCGTCCTCGGAATCCATAGTTTATTGTTACTCCTGCTTTTGTATTGATTTTTATTTAAATCAAGAAGAACATGGGTATAATAACAACACGTGAACTTCACTTTGACGTGCTGTGAGGTTATGTTTTTAAATGGATAGGGACAGAGAACATAACGATCTGAACCGAGATAAGCATATAACTCCGAAAAATCTAGCAAACATCCGCTGCGCAGACCGATCAACAGAGCAGTGCAGTCAAATTATCTGTTCTTCCTGTATACAACAAACGACCCCTCCCACCCCCCGCCCCATTCGCGCCGAATGTATATATAATTTTCTCCTCACCGTCATTACAATTAATTATAATTGAAAAAAAAAATTTCCTCAATTATTTTTTTTATCACTTTATTACTGTCTACATTCTTCAGTTTTAATTGTTAATTCAGCTTTACAAATATGACTTTGCAATTAAAGGAAATTAACAAAGTGCAACAGTACACACTCAACGCGCACTATCTATTAGGCTATCGTTAGACAATACTGCTATATATTTTCCTGGGACAGTGAGAGACATTGCAACGTTCCTGCGGTAACATCACAGTCCGCTTGAACCCTCCAAAAATCATACTTTTCAATCAACGTTTTTGCATTGTAAAATTATTGGGAGTTGGAGGGTTATAAAAATTATTTTCGAGATTGTTACAATTTCTAAACACAGAACAAAGTGCATATTCCCCATTTTCGTAATGACTCCATCGCCCTCCGAACAGACGGACCGAGTTTACTCGATTATTTTGAACACATTCATTTTAAAGAAAATGATTGATCCTCAGGTGAGTAATAATCATCCTTTAAAGGAAAAAAACGTATCTTTAAACTTTGGTATTTTTATAGATACTTCTTTATTTCTCATTACTAAAACTCTCGAGTTGTCGAGTTGACCCTCCGCGCTGCTGGCACTTCCGGTCTGAGCTCAGAGGGAGTTCGTTAAATACAAATGTCCGTAAAATAACACTGTGAAAAGTGAAAATTATGACCTCACTAAACATTCCAATACTTCACATATTGTTAAATATCCTTAGTTCTATCATGCAGCCCTAAGGGGCAAGCGCACGGCGGTGGTGATCAGCTTAGCTTTGGGAAGCTAAACAGCGCTGAGCGTGGTCACTAGATGGATGGGTGGCCGTGAGGGAACACTTTTGCAAAGCTTAGAATTTTTGGAAAGCTGGAAGAAGCATCAGGCATTAATATGCTGCTGAAAAAGTCTAATCCATAAGAAACTGAAAGGTATACGGTAATGGAAAAGTTAGTTCTATCCCCTTCATAACTCACTCAAGGAAAATAGAAGGACATTCATTAGAATGAAAATACTGCAGTGCAAAAATACATTTATTAGAGTGCGAAAGTATTTGAACAAGTAAAAAATAAGTGCATATATTGATTTTTCTAAAGTGCAGGCTGTTTTTGTCTAATATTGATGAAATATCGTAAAGTGATTTCATTACGCTAATTCTTATTATACAGCACTGTATTCGGAGCACGAATCAATGAAAGAATGAACTATCATATAATCTCATCATTGAAGTTGCTGAGGGAACGAAGTTCATAAATTTTCCGAACTTTTGCAAGATTGAGGCGTGTGTAAACTAATTTAAGAGATTTATCAGCCATTATTAGCTGATGATCTAGTCTCTGGGGAGTCGTGCGAGGCAAGTACAGACGCCGTCCTTCATGACACCAATCCATAACTCGCTTCTGGGTCCTACAAAATAGTGAAATCATATAATTTAGAAATGCACTGAACTTATACAGAGGGCTCATGAGAAACAGAGACCAACTGAGGCAATATAAAAGAAACCATTAGATTGCATTGACTAATGAAATGAAGAGTTGGTGAAAGCATGGACACGAAACGGCAGATACATATCACGTGAGATAGAGAGGTGATATATGATATATGGATGATATCATGTCTGTCTTGCAAACGAACTTAAATGATTACCTAAAGTATGGCTCCAGCCACTTGCACTGCCTGATCCGCTGCCACTTCCGGCACCGGCTCCGTGACCTACTCCAGAGCCAGCTCCTGTAAAATATACGGCTGATACAAATCGGGATGAAAATTTTATCTCAAGATTTATTTACGGAATTTTTTTGGTTTTATGATCCTCACTAATGAAGATGGATGGGAGGATTACCTGATCCAGATCCGCTACCACTCCCTAACCCCCTGCCAATTCCGGCACCGACTCCCCTGCCTGATCCTCTACCACTTCCGGAACCTGCTCCACTACCTGCGCCGCTGCCACTTCCAGCACCGGCTCCACTGCCACTTCCGGCCCCAGCTCCACTGCCTGATCCTCTACCATGCCCGGCACCAGCTCCCCTGCCTGATCCTCTACCACTTGCGGAGCCTGCGCCACTACCTGCGCCGCTGCCACTTCCAGCACCGGCTCCACTGCCACTTCCGGCCCCAGCTCCACTGCCTGATCCTCTACCATGCCCGGCACCAGCTCCCCTGCCTGATCCTCTACCACTTGCGGAGCCTGCGCCACTACCTGCGCCGCTGCCACTTCCAGCACCGGCTCCACTGCCACTTCCGGCCCCAGCTCCACTGCCTGATCCTCTACCATGCCCGGCACCAGCTCCCCTGCCTGATCCTCTACCACTTGCGGAGCCTGCGCCACTACCTGCGCCGCTGCCACTTCCAGCACCGGCTCCACTGCCACTTCCGGCCCCAGCTCCACTGCCTGATCCTCTACCATGCCCGGCACCAGCTCCCCTGCCTGATCCTCTACCACTTGCGGAGCCTGCGCCACTACCTGCGCCGCTGCCACTTCCAGCACCGGCTCCACTGCCACTTCCGGCCCCAGCTCCACTGCCTGATCCTCTACCATGCCCGGCACCAGCTCCCCTGCCTGATCCTCTACCACTTGCGGAGCCTGCGCCACTACCTGCGCCGCTGCCACTTCCAGCACCGGCTCCACTGCCACTTCCGGCCCCAGCTCCACTGCCTGATCCTCTACCATGCCCGGCACCAGCTCCCCTGCCTGATCCTCTACCACTTGCGGAGCCTGCGCCACTACCTGCGCCGCTGCCACTTCCAGCACCGGCTCCACTGCCACTTCCGGCCCCAGCTCCACTGCCTGATCCTCTACCATGCCCGGCACCAGCTCCCCTGCCTGATCCTCTACCACTTGCGGAGCCTGCGCCACTACCTGCGCCGCTGCCACTTCCAGCACCGGCTCCACTGCCACTTCCGGCCCCAGCTCCACTGCCTGATCCTCTACCATGCCCGGCACCAGCTCCCCTGCCTGATCCTCTACCACTTGCGGAGCCTGCGCCACTACCTGCGCCGCTGCCACTTCCAGCACCGGCTCCACTGCCACTTCCGGCCCCAGCTCCACTGCCTGATCCTCTACCATGCCCGGCACCAGCTCCCCTGCCTGATCCTCTACCACTTGCGGAGCCTGCGCCACTACCTGCGCCGCTGCCACTTCCAGCACCGGCTCCACTGCCACTTCCGGCCCCAGCTCCACTGCCTGATCCTCTACCATGCCCGGCACCAGCTCCCCTGCCTGATCCTCTACCACTTGCGGAGCCTGCGCCACTACCTGCGCCGCTGCCACTTCCAGCACCGGCTCCACTGCCACTTCCGGCCCCAGCTCCACTGCCTGATCCTCTACCATGCCCGGCACCAGCTCCCCTGCCTGATCCTCTACCACTTGCGGAGCCTGCGCCACTACCTGCGCCGCTGCCACTTCCAGCACCGGCTCCACTGCCACTTCCGGCCCCAGCTCCACTGCCTGATCCTCTACCATGCCCGGCACCAGCTCCCCTGCCTGATCCTCTACCACTTGCGGAGCCTGCGCCACTACCTGCGCCGCTGCCACTTCCAGCACCGGCTCCACTGCCACTTCCGGCCCCAGCTCCACTGCCTGATCCTCTACCATGCCCGGCACCAGCTCCCCTGCCTGATCCTCTACCACTTGCGGAGCCTGCGCCACTACCTGCGCCGCTGCCACTTCCAGCACCGGCTCCACTGCCACTTCCGGCCCCAGCTCCACTGCCTGATCCTCTACCATGCCCGGCACCAGCTCCCCTGCCTGATCCTCTACCACTTGCGGAGCCTGCGCCACTACCTGCGCCGCTGCCACTTCCAGCACCGGCTCCACTGCCACTTCCGGCCCCAGCTCCACTGCCTGATCCTCTACCATGCCCGGCACCAGCTCCCCTGCCTGATCCTCTACCACTTGCGGAGCCTGCGCCACTACCTGCGCCGCTGCCACTTCCAGCACCGGCTCCACTGCCACTTCCGGCCCCAGCTCCACTGCCTGATCCTCTACCATGCCCGGCACCAGCTCCCCTGCCTGATCCTCTACCACTTGCGGAGCCTGCGCCACTACCTGCGCCGCTGCCACTTCCAGCACCGGCTCCACTGCCACTTCCGGCCCCAGCTCCACTGCCTGATCCTCTACCATGCCCGGCACCAGCTCCCCTGCCTGATCCTCTACCACTTGCGGAGCCTGCGCCACTACCTGCGCCGCTGCCACTTCCAGCACCGGCTCCACTGCCACTTCCGGCCCCAGCTCCACTGCCTGATCCTCTACCATGCCCGGCACCAGCTCCCCTGCCTGATCCTCTACCACTTGCGGAGCCTGCGCCACTACCTGCGCCGCTGCCACTTCCAGCACCGGCTCCACTGCCACTTCCGGCCCCAGCTCCACTGCCTGATCCTCTACCATGCCCGGCACCAGCTCCCCTGCCTGATCCTCTACCACTTGCGGAGCCTGCGCCACTACCTGCGCCGCTGCCACTTCCAGCACCGGCTCCACTGCCACTTCCGGCCCCAGCTCCACTGCCTGATCCTCTACCATGCCCGGCACCAGCTCCCCTGCCTGATCCTCTACCACTTGCGGAGCCTGCGCCACTACCTGCGCCGCTGCCACTTCCAGCACCGGCTCCACTGCCACTTCCGGCCCCAGCTCCACTGCCTGATCCTCTACCATGCCCGGCACCAGCTCCCCTGCCTGATCCTCTACCACTTGCGGAGCCTGCGCCACTACCTGCGCCGCTGCCACTTCCAGCACCGGCTCCACTGCCACTTCCGGCCCCAGCTCCACTGCCTGATCCTCTACCATGCCCGGCACCAGCTCCCCTGCCTGATCCTCTACCACTTGCGGAGCCTGCGCCACTACCTGCGCCGCTGCCACTTCCAGCACCGGCTCCACTGCCACTTCCGGCCCCAGCTCCACTGCC